TACCACTGCCACTACCACTGCCACTGTCACTGTCACTGTCACTGTCATTGTCACTGCCACTGTACTCAAGTTCGTAATGGAATATGACATAAAAAGTCCCTCTCTTCTGACAAAATGCATATGGCATTCACTTGTCAATTTATACTAGAGAAATTTCAAAATATAGTTTTGAAAAAGGACGAACAGGAACAGCCAGCCAAATAAACTTGCTTGCAAATGACAGTGACAACATCCCATGACATTTATGCATTCATCTTTCCATTCGTTCGTTCGTTCTTTCGTTCATTCATTTATTCACTTTTCCAGAGCAATCCTGGCAAAATTTCAGGCACGTAATGGTATCTATAATACAAACAAGACCTTTGCAAGTTCTTTCTCGAATTGAAATATTTCTAACAGTTGAACTTCTGAAGCTTCTGTTGCTCCAAGTTTTCGTGTTAAGTTTCTCATCAGACCTTTGTATGCTTCTCGGACCTAAAAAGGACAAAAACAGTGGGCAAAACGAGTTTCTACTCAGGACTGTAAATGATGTTATTCATAGATTATTTAAATAAATACTTTTTGATTAATTAAAGATGAAATAGACAGACAAAATGTGGGCAAGCTGTGAGGTTACATTTGGACAAGAAGACGCCCGCCTCTTGTTGGTAGGTTATAAACAAAAATTTACACATAATAATAAACTAATAACTGATTAGGTCAAAGTAAACCATTACATCTGACGGCGTGATTTGGCAATAGAGAACTAAATCCGGGTAGGAAATGGTACCCTCGCCTATACACTAATTAATAAAGCTCATGCCTACCCGCAGACTCTCGGAGTCGTTTGTGAGGAGCTCCCTTCGCGACAGTGAGGTGTAAGATTCGCCAAACTAAAGCATAGGAAAAACAATACAATCTTAACGACTGGTCCTAAGGTAAAGAATTAATTTTGTTTACCGAGAGTATCAGTGCTTCCTGTGGCGGCGTAGTTAGAAGGGGAAACAAAATCAACTACATATTTATAAAACGCCCTGTTAGAAAGTGTACGTCGAAAGCCCTACTTCAGTGACTCGGCAGAAACTCAGAACTAGCAAGAGCTGTTGCCGTAATGATGACACTGGGAAAAAGAAGATTTTTAGCATCGACTTAAACCAGCGGGTTTCTTTCTTTTTCACGAAGTGTTTTCTAAAAGATTAAAAGAAAAACACGCGATTCCAGCCATTTAGACAAGTTTTGGAGACAGAGAAATTCAGTGGGAACACGAGCCGCAGGCCATTAGTAAATCTGATGTGAAGACAGTGCTCGTCGGTCAATGTGCGTGGGTAACAATGGAAACCCTCTGACGTCATGAACTAGACCTTCGATTGGGGGACAGTTTCATTGCTAGTTGTTACGTGACTTTGGAATTGAGACCAAAAAGTGTAACTTATTTTCCATGTCTACAAGTACGATGGACCCAGGTGAAAGAGCATCATTTCTAGCACCTTTCCTCGCTGTAACAATGTTGCATTGAAATTACAAAAAACGTGGCTGTTTGTATAGCATTGGTACAACGTACTGCAATCCTCAATGGGTTGATAGTACGGGCAACAACACTTCCATCTTAAAGTGCAACTCATTTGCGAAACAACCTCGGGTAAGTAGAGTCGATTCGTCTAACTTTGAAGTCGGCTTTGGGTACAATTGTGGGTCCCTCTAGGCTATACATTTAAGGGTGCAACTAACTGAACGCGGGGTTTAAAGAAATCCATCTTACCGTAATGGCATTCTGTGAACTGTTTTTGTTATCAATCACAACTGCCATAGAAAACAGAATCGGTGAGACAAGATCTTTGTGGATCCTTGCGAGTTTGCTAACAAAGTCCCAGTCTTTTTCCTCCCAGTTTTTATCCGTGATGCTCCATGATCCGTATTCCTTAATAAGCTTCTTAAGAGGCTCGCCTTTAAGTCTCTCGATCTCATCTACGTCCATACAAGAATCATAATAAGCCAAGGCCTTCCACACTGCTTCTTCCTAAACAGAAAGGGCGACAGAAGGAGCTGGCTTTATTTCTTGAGACTACTATAGTAGTACAGGGCGCTCATAGGGACGGTAACCAATCAGGAGCCGAGAAAGACAATAGGCTATTGTTTAGAGAACAATGAATGCCATTGTTTTCAAAATCCAAGATGGCGGAGGTTATTTTCAGCCAATCAGGAGCTTAATTAAGACCTGAGCAGCAGTGAAACCTGGAAACTAGGTCCCAGGTTTCCATAGGAAGGAGGATGAACACAGGAGTCTGTTTTGGGCGGGAAAATTGCCCACCAGACGCAAAGGCCTGGGACCAGTCTTACCATTTTCCCCTCAGAATTGTCCGATACGTCAATCGAGAATCAATCTATACATATGTAAATCAAATGTGAAACAATTGTATTTTCAAAAAAAATCCTAATTCTTTACAAGAGGGACCTGTGTCCACTCCCTTAGTGGGAGGACGCCCATAAACATTTTTTCACAATAAACGTAAATCATTAGTGTGTGCGTTGACGGTGCCTGACTTACGCAACATTACTTTGTATTTACTTGCATGTGTGAATTGGTGCTTCTTTGATATTTTTACATATTTTTTTACGCAAATGCAACAAATGCTTATAACAGCTTAGAAACTCTGACGAGTAACGAATAATAAGCGAAGGCAGAAATATATAGGGTAAAAGGCGAGAAGAAGAAAATACAATTGAAATACTTCAAGTGGAAATGATTTGCTAATGGCAGTTTGCAATGAAATCTAAACTCCTTGACCTCGACTGTTCCGTTGAGAAAAGCATCATTCAAAAGAATCTTGAACAAAAAATAGGCATTTTGGGCGACCATTGAAGAATTAACATAATTAGTCAGAGATGGAACGTGCAATAAATCAAAAGCAAAAAGCACATGTTTAGAAACTGTATCTTAACCCTTGAGAATAACCTGAGAGAAACTTCAAACTTTTCGCGCTTGAAGTAAAGACCTAACTTCATTTACAAACACTATAAACTAATCGCTTCAAATAAAACAGACGCTCGAATAATAAGCAGTTTTCAAATAGCGACCAAAATCACTTACATCAAACATAGTACTTTCCTCCGAAAGCGTCACACAACTCGCGATCACTCAACTCCATAACTGCCAAGACAGAAAGAAACTACAAAGAAGAGGTGTGCTGAATGTTGTCACAAGTAAAATGAACTCTCTCAAGACCGTTTGACTTATAAACGGGTATTCACAAAACAATATAATAGACAATGTGACGCGGTTAACAACCGATGAGAAGATGGGGGATAGGGGGTACGCGATATCACGTGGTTAAGAACCAAAGAGAAGATGGGAGATAGGGGGTATACACCACAGTAATGTGATTAAATTGTTATAAACAATTGCAAAACAGAGTCTGAGTCTTTATAACGTTTCTTTATAACTCTTTAAGTCTTGACCGTCGTGTTGGGAACTACACTCGTTTCCAGTTTTACAGACTCTTGGTCCCAGGGCCCAAAACGCACAATTTTTCTCTGGTTTTGGCCATGAAGTCTTTGACTGATCCGTTCCTTATTCTTCGCAAGGTAACTTCTCCAATATTCGTTGATCCGTTCCCCGTTGTTTTTACAGTATTGTCTTCCGTAATTTCTGACGTGCTCCTTGTTCTGTTGACAATAAGCTCTCTGGCTGCTGGCGAGTCGTTCCTTGTTGTTTTCATACCATCTTTTACGACGATGTTTGAAAATCTTGACGTTCTCTGCACGATATCTTTTTTTCTGGGCCAGGATTCGCTCTCTGCTCTTTGCATAATATTTTTTATGGTAGGCCTTTTTACAGACAGCCCTCTGGTCATGCCCTAACAGTTGATTGGAGCAATTCATCTGGCATGTGTGGCGTCTCACGAATAATGGCTAAAACCCTAGAATCACACACTCTTATAAGAGTCGCAGGGTTAATTTAGGTTTCAACCTCTTCTTCTACTTCCTCTTCGTCATCATCGTCGGGGAGTAACCTCTTTTGTATTAGTCTGCTTAACAGGAATTCCGTTTTGCCACTGCCGACTCGGCCGCTTCGTCAAAATCCATGTCGTCTTCGTCAATAAAGCGTCGAAGAGTCTTCATGACTTTACGGTGTATTGCGTCGTGTTTTGATACGGTGAGTCCATTTTAGATGCTCTAAGTAAGTCCTTCGTAGCCTTCGTCTACTTACAGGTAATAGGGCATTGAAAGCAGCATTTTCGGCATAGTTTTGGGATTTTCCCTTATCCAGAAACTGCTGGACTTCTTTCGGGTAGGTTTCTTTGAGATCTTCCCCGACGTTTTGACTTAAGGGACTCCACAGAACTGGTTCATCGTCGTCCGCTTCTTCTTCCTCTTTGGAGATGCTACCATGCTCCTCTTCTTCCTGTTCCTCTTCAGGCTCTTTTTCTTCCACCTCCTCTTCCTCTTTTACGTTTTCATCATTGTTATCTTCCACGGGGCCAAAAATATCTGTTGAACGATCATCCATGATTCTCGTCGACCTTTAACCAAGACAGCGTGCTTCAAATGAGCCGAGTTGATTAAACTGATATTTAATATACCATTTTAGTCAATTATCAGTCATCCTCTCTCTTTCTTCGATGCCAGCGCGGGCATCCTTCGTGCGTCATCAGGTTACTAAACACGCGTTTCCTGTCGTCACTGGCGGGATGTAAATCCAGGACCGTGTACCCAATCGGTCGTTCGGTCACTTTTTGATACGCGTCCATCATGTCTTGCCAGCAAGTGGAAAAAGCTTGAAGCAGTAAATTCTTCATCCCTAATTGATAATTTGGATTTTTGAAGGCTACAATGAAGTGGGCGTTCCTGGAAATACTCTTAGCGTATTTCCCTGGTGGCAACATGTCTTGGCATAAGTAGAACACGGTGATATTTTGATGATGAGAGTGTTTGGTGAATAAGTCTAGCAACGCTTTGTCCTCACCTCCCTCTGCCATCAGATCGTCTAATACGAGTAATCCACCCTTCGGAAACCATGACTTTAGATGGTCTGACTCTGGAATCCCTTCGTGAAATTGCACACCAGCGTCTTTCATGTCTCGAAATCCATCTTGCCACGCCCCGTAGCAATAATGAATCGTAGGGGGAAGGTTTACAAACAATTCTTCCAGGTGATCCAAGAGTAAAGATTCGGTAAAACAAGTCTTGCCACAACCAGAAGGGCCCACGACCAAAATACTGGAGGGTGTTTTGAACCGAAACGCTTCTCCCATTTCTATTCCACTGGGGATCCCATGGTGCTTTCGGTAGAATATGGGATCTTTGCGGAATCCTCTGGTGTTTTTTCTCTGACAACTACGTTTCTCTTGACGGGTTCTATTGTCTTCACGCGTAAAGAGTCTCTGACAATAACTAAGAACGTGTCTCGCTCACAGACTCCTTACATCAAATGAATTAAGGCAGTCAAAGCATTATCTTTATCCTTGGCCGATGATTCTCCCCACTCACTAGATGGTTATCGTGGTTATCGTGGCGTAATTGCGGGCTATCGATGTTCTCTGATATTCTTGGCTTGGCTACTTATCACAATTGTCCTACACTCTCTAAAACCTAAGCGTGGTTTCGATAAGACGTCCTGCAGTATCGCTGTGTCGACGGGTCTGGATATTAAGCAGTATCCAACGCGAAATTCTGGTCCGACTCGGAGGTTCCTCTGTGAAGCACTCGTGCCGCCATCTTTGAAATGTATGGCGGCACTGAAATTTACAAATATCACTCTCTGCGCAACTTACATGGTTCTGTTAGCAGGAGATATACAGGAGAATCCAGGGCCAGTGACGGATGCTTGTGCTGTTTGCACTAAAGGATGTCGAAAGAATCAGATGGCGATACAATGCGATTCATGCGACAAGTGGTTTCATGCTAAGTGTATCAGTATGAAAAGAACGGAATATGATAAACTTTGCGAACCTTCTTTGGCTTGGGAATGCATAACTTGTTTATCTCCTGGCGTTGATACACCTGTCCGCAAGTCACATGAAAAAACTAACACGGGAGGAAAAGAAGGAAACCCCAGAGTAAGGATGAATAAAGGTCTTCATGCAAATCTTAAGAAGAGAGGAATGAAATTTGCTCATGTAAATATTACAACTTTGCCGGGACACTACGCCGACGCCGAAGTACTAATAGAGAAAGCAGCATTGGATGTG